AAAATAAAAATAAAAAAAGATGAGAAGGTGGAGGGAGGGTCCAGAGAAGAGGCTGAGGATTTATGAGATTTTACTGGGTTCCCTAAATGAGATGTATTCACAGAGGGCACAGTGGAAAGGGGTTCAGGGCTGAGGAGCTGAGGGAAGTGGGGCCAGATTAGGCATGTTCACAGTGCTGCAGGGATGAGAGTCCACGGGAATGACGGGTCCTGGACATAAGCAGGGACGGAGGGCATAGCAGGATTAGTCCTGGTGGTTTCTGAAGCAGGCGATGAGGCTGAGTGTGGGAGAGAGGATGGGTTGGGCGGCTTGCCAGAAGCAAGCAGACCTCCTCGGCTCTTCTCTGCTATGCACGGTCGTTTGGAGGTGGGGGTTGGGGTGTAGGGCCTTCCTACCTAGAGCATGGGTAGGTAACAAGGCCTCACCTACCTTTTCATTCTGCAGTAGAGGTGTAGGAGCTGGGGAGGCATACGTGTTGAAGCCTTACCAGGATGCATGCAAGTATCACTTATTATAAAAGTTCTAGGATCTCATCAAATGAAACCTAGACAGTTTAGTATTTTTTTAGTATTGCTTTTATACTTGAGATGCGATTTGGTATGTCACATACATAAAAGTAGTAATTAAATTTAATTGGAAGGGTTACATTGGTTCGTAATCAGTAGATATAATACAGATTCCAATACATTTTTAAAAATAAGTCATTCTTTCTCTCTTTTCCTGCAGACTCCCTGCCACTTTCCTCCAAAATGTGACTTGAAAACTGACGATGTCACAGTCTATAGAATAATTGACATGTTCTTTTCCCTTTTCCTTATAGTGAAGAAAGTTACAATGTCAATGATTATTCCTTAAGAGATCAGCTATTGGTGGAATCTTGTGACAATGAAGAGCTTAATTCTTCTCCAGGAAAAAACAGTTCCACGATGCTTTATTCGAGACAGAGCTCTGCCAGTCACCTTTTCACTCTGACAGTCCTTAGTAACCACGCGAATGAGAAAGTGGAAATGCTGCTAGGAGCTGAGACACAGTAAGTATATGTCAGGAACGGATTTCAGGATATCTGATGTCTGTCTCCTCCCTCTAATTGCCCTTGGTCTGCAGACTCCCTAAAACCAGTAGCTACTATTTGTTTTTTTTCTGAGCACCTATTATGTGCCAAGCACTGCATGTGGGTGCTTTATACAAATGTTGTTCTTTTCATTGTGATCCTCTCAAGGTCTTAAGAGATGGTTGTTGTTATTTTTGTCCCCGTAAGTCCTGATAGATGCATTATGCATTAGGTGATGTGGGGATTTTTTTAATAGAGTGGTTTAAAAATCATTTTACTTTTCTCATTAACAAAAAATATGACCCACCAGCCTTAGGAAATAAGACTCAATTGGTAGTTTGAGTCTAGGCCATAAGTTTTCTTAGATAATGGAATTAAAGTCATTTCTCAGTCACCTGCTTTCAACCAGCCAGCAGAAAGCTCAATGATTTCTGTCAAAAGAGCTACTGAGTTTAGGGAAATGCGTTGATGGATCGTGTTTCCAATCCAGAGTGTATGCAGAGGCAGAACAGGCAGCCTGTTCATGCCTGCAGTTTCACCAGCAGTTAGTGTGCAGTCAGTCCTCGCGTCAGGTTTCGGTTTGAAATGTCGGTTCTTGGTGCGCTCATGGCCGAAGAATGACCAGACACTCCAAAGGTAGGCAAGCACAAAAATGAGGTTTATTGAAGAGAGAAAGATGGGATTATAGGGCAAGAGCAAGACATAGGTTTACAAAGCATGATGCATATGACGACCAGACCCACTGTCACACTAAAGGGAGAGCAAAAGGAAGAGGGAAAAGAGGGACTAGTTATGGTCTGTGTCTTGTCTGTGTCTTGTTTTAATAGTGCTCGGATTGGAACTTCCTTGTGGCTCAGATGTCACCGTGGAAATACTTTGATTGGACAGTTGGGAGTCACATGACCTGAGCCTTAACTATGCATGCAGGTTGTTCTAGGTCACTTTCCGGACTTTATGGTACCCATGCTGCTTGGCCCTGGGGCTAGACAGTCCTCTGTATTCTTTTGCAGGTGGTGCACCAAGTTTTGATTGGGTATTCCCTCCTCGCCCAGGTATGGAGAATTAGGGTGGGGCAGGGTTAAGATAGGGGTAACAACACCCACTTTTGTCCCTAGGAGACCAGGAATCCCTTGCTATCTACCTAACACTCACATGGGTTGAGGGGAGAGGGTTTGATTTTTGAGTTTACCCTAGTGATTTTTTGGTCCATTTAGAGATAATATCAATTAATTTATTTGGAAACCTGGAAACCTCCCCTTGCAACAATTACCATGAGTAGATATTAGGTTGGGTCAGAGGGTGAAACAGTGGAGGGAAAGGAGAAGCTCCCTAATTTTTTGTCCTCTCATGTTCCTACAAATGTCTCCCGGCCACATCTGCCAAGGTTCCCATGTGGTGTGGTCAGAATGGATCAGCAGATGGTAAAAAAACAACGTTAAGACTGTAGCAAGGTCTTAGAGAAAGTGATCCCAAAGAGGTGTCTCTACTTTTTTTTGTTGTTTGTTTGTTTTTGAGAGAGCTTCTCACTGTGTTGCCCGGACTAGAGTGCTGTGGTGCCATCATAGCTCACTGCAACCTCAGACTCCTAGGTTCAGGTGATCCTCCTGCATCAGCCTGCCAAGTAGCTGGGACTACAGACCTGCACTGCCATGCCCAGATAATTTTTATTTTTATTTTTTTGTAGAGACAGGGTCTCACTATATTGCCCAGGCTGGTCTCAAATTCCTGACCTCAAGCTGTCCTCCTTTGGCCCCCTGAGTGCTGGGATTATAGGTGTGAGCCACTGCACCTGGCCACTATCTCTACTTTTTAAGAGTGATTTTAAGAGTGCTCCTGGGTCATTAAAGAGAAATGTTAAAAAAATTATTCAGTGACACTTGTTAAAGCACAGTAAGGCAGACTTTATTCAGGACCATCACAATAGGTATGGGCACCACTGCAACAGGGTCTTGCAGTGGGGAAGAAAGACTGGGCCCAACTCCGAACACAGCATGGGCAAGTGGGAATTCATAGCCAAGGAGCAGTGAGCGGGCCAGTGGATGGAAAATTACTAAGAGGAAGCATCAGGGTCAAGGAGGACTCTGGCTAAATTGAACTAACAGGATTCTTACTGAAGACAGGCCAAGGTGTGCAGACATCACCTGGGGGGTGGAAGGGGTGGAGGATGAGTAATCTGATCAGATACCAAGGATGAGGGGATGTGGGGGTTCTTGCCAAACCGACTTATCAGGGTTCTTTGCTCAAACTGGGTTTTATGAGGAAGTGCACAGGTGGGCCTAGGAGAAGATGCAGAAGCCTGACTGAAGTTTGGCCAAGCAAAAAATCTTGCGAAGAGGCATAAGAAAAATGTGAAAATTACAAGGCATCCACATAAAATGTTAAATGATCATCTCATACCTTTTGGCACTAGAAATGATACTTAAACCCTGGCAAAAACCAAGAAGGACAGCTTGATGTGAAGCTATAGAATATTCCTAACGAACTTGAGAGTTAACCAAGGGAATGAATGAGAAAAGGAGCTTCATCTTCATGTGTGTGTTTACAAAACAAAGAAATGCCTTTCTTTGAAGTCCCAGAGTTTTTCCCCTCACATTGCTGAAATGCCCAGAAGGCCTCCCAAGTATGCCCCACTGTGTCTGCTGCTCTGGGGAGGAAAGCTTGAATGGAAGTGTCGCTTGCTGGTCTGAGGGGTGACCAGCAAGAGACACACCCAGGGCTGGGGCTGAGGGAAGACATTACTTGAACTCTAAAAGTGATTCAAGCTCCTTGGCCAGTGAAAACAAAACTAGACTTCCTTGATGCAGGGAAACTTCTCTTAAAAACAGGATTTAGTATGTCTAAGCTTTGGGTTTTATGTGACGTTAAGCGTGAGAAAGATTTAAACACTTTGGAGATTGGTACTTGTCCAGACATTCTAGAAAATTCTCAGAAACTCTGGGAGACTTCCTTTTCCTCATATAGTTAGTAATGGTGAAAATGTTGTTAGTTTTGTCTTGTGTTTTCTTTTTTCCTCCGTTTACAAGGATTGTTTGTTCCTTATTCAGGCCTTGCCAACATCTCAGCAGAGCTTTTCCTAACTGTTTCATTCATAATTGATGTAATCTCCACCACTTGTTTCTTAGATTATTCAAAGAGAGTAGGAAGTAAGCTGACACGTCTCGTTCTTTTCACACTGAGGTTAGATCCTTTCCTGGGACATTCTGTAGCATTTGTTTCACCCTCTTGCCTTTTAATCTTTCCATAGACTGAATGGATGTTGGTTTCCTCCACCAGACATGTTCTCAGAATATTTAATTATGTCACCCGTAAACCCATGGGTATGACTCATATTCGTAGTTCCTTAATTAATATCAAGAGTACATTCCAGAAGGGGCAGAGGTCTCGTTGGGTACAGAAGGAGTGACACTCTCATTCTCCTCACTCTTCCTGCCCCTGCCCTCAATGGCAGTTGAGAAGTAAATAAATGGACAAGTGCTGTATGACATAAGATAGCATTGGTGTTGAAAGAAAATACATTACAGCCAAAGATCACTTTCCTTAAAAACATAATTGCCTGTTTAAAAGCCTAGCAAATTGTCACATGCTGTGTTTAGAAATATGCAGGTCAGCTCTCTGGGCTGCCTGGTTTTGATCAATCAAAGTTTTGTTCTGTGTAGAAAGTGTTCTTTGCTTCTAAGATTTGTGAAATGTATCGATGAGTATACGTTTTTTAGGTTTTCTCTTTTATGTTTTATGTGGTTAATATGGTCCACTGGCAATCTATCTGAGAAAACGAGGTTTTCAATACCACTCTGGCCTTGAATAATTGCAGAACTTCAGACCAGTCAAGTGTATCCTTTGGCTACTTGTTCCTTGACTTGAAAAAGAATAGGTGTCACACCTAAATATTAATATTTACCTTATTTGAAAAACTATCATCAGTAGAGGCCACCTGGGGATATAAAAAATGTAAAATCAGCAGTAGGAGGGATACAGCTGTTTAGCACAAGGAAATTCAACTTCATAAGACAATGAAATTGTGGAAGAACAGATCAATGGCTTTGATGACACAAAGAATGCAGACATGCTCACCTAAAGGAAATGGGGCAAACACTTAGTGAGCATCTCGGATGTGCCAGGCACTGAGCCAGCCGTAGAACATAAAGAGGGGACCCATGAGTGCTCCAGAGAAGGATAGAATTTCAGAGCCGAAGGAAGCATATAGGTAAGGTGACTGGACAGCTTCGTTTCCCCAGAATCAATAGTTCATGTCTATTATCCTAGCAAATTATGAATAGCACTCTCTTTGACTCTCAAAAGGGTCTTGTTTAGACAATAAAATGTGTGATCACCCTAATTATATGTAATTATAATATTATAAAATAAATATTTTAAAACATATATAAAATTATAAATATGCACATATAATTATATACATAGCCCAACTCTCTTATTTTTCTCCCCACGTAAAATGAGACTCACAAAGCCAAAGTGATTTGCCTTAAGCCATATGGGAAGTGAGTTATGATCAAAGCTGGAACTAAACCTGGCCCCCCTGACTGTCCAGCCCTCTTTCTGGTAACAAATTTTAATCTTCTTACTGAGAAGCTGCCAACCAGTAGTCTGTTCCACCCCCACCCTGCTGCTCAGTTTAGCCTTCTTCTGAATTTGGAAATCCAGAAGTTTTCCAGGAAAACTCCAGGAAGTCAGGTGCTATTAAGTGTGAAAAACTATGAAAATAGGGAATTTTTGAAAGTCCATAGACTCTAAAAAGGAACAAGTTTGTGGAAACCCAGATGATAAATTTAGGGCATCATATGGTTTGAAATATTTTATAATTAAATGTTAAATAGATATTGCATCCCAAGCCAAGAATTATTTTCCACTTGAAACTTGCTTTTTATTCCTTTACTTGTATTTTTCCCACTTCCTGAAATTCCCTCCGTAAGCCTCATTGGATTGCCAGATATCTCTTCTCTTAGGGCCCATGTCAAGTCTGT